TATATTGGTTTGACGATCCTATTCAAAATGGCCAAATGGTGGCCATTTTTGTGCTAAAAAATCATCAAATATCAAGCATTTCTGGATAGATTTTGTTCAAACTTGGTACATATATTAGACATTACAGGTTCCTGATGCACATCATTTATTTTTTAGATCGGATTCAAAATGGCTGTCTGGCGGCCATTTTGTTTTAATGAATGGGCTTCTAGACCCATATCTCCAACTTGTTTTGACTGATTATATTCAAATTTTAAATATTCATTATACATCATGTCATAGATAAACAGATATATTGGTTTGACGATCCTATTCAAAATGCCCGAATGGTGGTCATTTTTGTGCTAAAAAGTCATCATATATCAAGCATTTCTGGTATTTATGGATGGATTTCGTTCAAACTTGGTACATACATTAGACAGGTTCCTGATGCACGTCATTTTATTTTTCAGTTTGGATTCAAAATGGCTGACTGACGGCAATTTTGCTTTAATGATTGGGGTTCTAGAGCCATATCTCATAAATGCTTTGACTGATTATATTCATATTTTATATATTCGTTATACATCATGTTATATATATACATGTATTCAAAATGGCTGATTTTGAATGCTGTTTCAGAGCAATATCTCTCAATATGGACAAGTACTTGTTTGACAATTAGATACAAATGTCAATCATTTTAATGTTAAATTATAGCTATATTACTATAAACAAAACTATATATCTTAAATTTGATAACTAACGGGGACTGTGCCATGCACGGCTTGTTTATTATGATATGCTCAATCCAGGTTGATTTATTTGCGATGAAATTATAAAATAAAATATGAACATTCGAAGTTGCTTTCTTCCACTATGAATTGTATAGCGCCCTCTATTGGTAGATTGATAAACTAATTGGAATTTGTTTTTGTTGCTATAAACCAACCATATTTCCACCTCGCAGGCTGATTTGAGAGTAGACAAACTGAAAGACATCATCAGAAAATGGAGAGATTTTGAGAAATCCAAGACTGATATGAAGTATTGGTTACAAAGTATTGAAAGTACCTTACAATCTGAATTGAAACGACCTGGTGATGTTACCATAGCAACAGCTCGGTCACACGCTGCTGAAGTACAGGTATGTACAGTTTGTGTTCAGCCCATTGTCACAGTGGAAGGTCAGTAGATGAATGTTATGCAATTAAGATGACATTGAAACCATACTACTTTCCTTAATAGGTGGCTGCAGGCTAATTTGCCACCTGCATTGTACTTTTCTAAATACTTTGAGTGAAAGAATACAATTTAGCCACCTACATTCTTAATTTTTTGATCATGTCTTGGTGTCAAATGTACAATATCTACACTAGATTTGAAACAATAAATTAAATATGTATTTTTTTATTTTGGGGATTATTCAGTCATCCATATAATATTACTAGTATATATCTGAGCTTTTAAGAACTTAAGATTGTCAGTTGTTTTAGTTTCCATATGCTTGTAGGATATTATTATTATTTCACATGTTTCATTTGCATCTTAAACACAGGTGTGCATAACACTTAAATTTTCTTATTCTATCAAAATGTGCTATAATTACATACATAAACCCTTGGATTGCATCCAGGATTAAAGATCCTAGATAATACGTAACAATACTTGAAAACTATTTATGAAATATTACATTTAAATTCGATGGAAATAAAACTGTTCTACAGTTTGCAATGATGATATGAATTGCACATTAGATTCAAACTGAAGCCCACAAACTTTTAAAAATTATACAAGAATGGTAAACTCAATGTTGATTTTCTTGCCTTCATTCTTTTTATACATCATTTTTATACCTTAACTAGGAACTTGCCAAACAACTTCACTCCAAGCAAGCTGTGGTTTCCGAATTGAAAACTAAACATGACACTCTGACATCCACATCGGACCCTGAACTTGAGAGCTTCAGTGAAAAGCTTGATCAACTAGGTGCCTTGGCAGATCAACAAGCAACAAAGCGTAAGGATGAATTTGAAGAAACAGAGAAATACAACTTGCTGTGTGATGAGGTTGATGAGTTTTTACAGAGGATGGCAAGAGAGATTGATGCTTTGGATCAAGATGTTGATACTCCCACCGACCAGAAATTAGAAAAGGCCAAGGTAGGTGATATGCATAGAATTGAATGTGGAATAAAATGTGATATTTTATTGGTGTATGATATAGTCTTATAGCCAGGCTTCAATAACTGAGCATATGTGATATATTTGAGATGTTATCTTATTCATATTTGAGCATGTCTGTGTAATTAGGTGATGTTAGTATGTAAATGTGAGTGTTAAATCTATATTAATCCGAAGTGACACAGGGAATACAATATGTTGGTCCATTGCACTGGAGAACAAAGGTGCTATTGTCTTTTTTGACTTTGAAGAATTACTTTAATTTTGTCTAGTCATCATCAATAAAATGAACATTGACTGAAAATGTTCTAAAGTAAACAAAATAAAAACATTGTGCATTGGATAGTTGATATACTTTAGCATCAAATGTGTAGATTTGCATATTGATCTCATTAGCATATTCATGGTTATGAAATTTGAATATCTCTGTTGTGAAGTTACAACTATTTGTGTATGTGTGTAAAAGTAACATGCTGATACCATTGTATTAAAGAGAACAGGGTGAGAGAAATGTTAATAAATGTAGCTGGGTGTCATGCCCTGGTTAAACCCCCTGCAGCGTACACTCCCAGACTACCCTGTTATTATTAAAGGTGAGTATTGTTGTGTGTTAGCCTTCAGATCACATGGGGACTGAATAGTTGACATACTTAGCAATACAACAATGATTTGGAAGAAATAAAATACTCTTGTTATTGTTAAACTGATTCTAGCGTGATGTGGTGGTGGTGGGAGGGGGGGGGGCGTGGTTCTTGGTAGACGACTTGTTAGGTAAATATCAGATAAATGTTGAACAAAATGTTACCTGACATCTCACGAAATTTAGTACATAGGTGCATTGCAATAATGAACTGATTACCTGGTTAATTTTGGTCCTGAATGTGTGCATATTAGTTAATTAATCTGCATAATAAGTAAACACACTGTATGCTGAGTGCAAATCAGTGCCAGGGCAGAGGGGTCTAGATTTCAAAATTTGTAAGGGGGAGTATGCCCCTGGATCCCCCTAGTAAGCTTGCGCCTTTGG